GGATGCTGACTCCCCCACAAGTCTTAAAAATGTGATCGCATGAAGACGTAAAGGTAAAAAGGTAAACAAAGAGGACAGCACACATGTGTTCAAACTGTTCAAACATCAAGGATCAAAGATGGAGAAAAAACTAATTAAATTAGACGATATTTATTCATCAACACTATTTAAAATGACCTCTCATTTCATGAGGAAAGAGCCTGAAAGACGTTCAAATCAAGGTAAAATATTAAATAAGTATCCTCAATTGTAAATCATATCTTTTTGAAGTTGTCTGGGTGACATATTATGCGGCAGCAAAGTATTGTTCCGTATTTATATTTACATCGTTTATAGCCCTCACAGACTCTCACAGTCAACCACCTACCAGATGACGTGAGTTAGGTCCCTGCCAGTTCAGGGTTTACGGTCAGCCAAAGGGGGGGGATTAGGATTGAGCCTGATTGTCTGCTCTTTGTGGGTTAATTTTCTTTGTCTGTCAGTCAAATGTGGCTAATCTTGTTGCAAAGTTGGATTTGTTCGCCTTTGCATTTTGATTGCCGTTTGCCCCTAAGCCTTTTTTTTAAAGTACTTTGTTTTTTGACAAAGTCTGCGTTTGAGTCCTTCTGCCCCTGGTCCTTGGACATAACGTGACGGTATATGTACTTACACTTGTATAGCGTTATAAATGCTCTTACGTTGGATTTAAGTGTCTTCCCCAAGGATACAACAACATTGACCAGAACCCCTATTAATCATATTTAAGGCATAAATGTGTACGTACAAAAATATAACAAAACCCTCAGGCACATATTCATTGCACGCATTTTCCCTGATCCACAGTAGGATGCTACTGATTATTATGCATTTAGATTGTATGGCCCAAGTCGCAGAGGAGGCTGCCCCCCTAGTTGTTTGGAGAAAATGGCTAGACATAATACATAGCACCTTTTAAGTGTCACATTACTGGTGCAAGCAGTTTTGAAGCCAAAAACATGACAAAAGCAGAGTCAGGCTAGGTCAATGTCAAGGAAGATTTGTCACACAGGCTAACAAATCCCAAAAATGGGCTGGCAGAGAATTCAAGGTCCAAAACGCGGCAAGCAGGGTCAGAGCTGGGCAGATCAGCTTTCTAGAGCTGGAGAAAATCTTGGAGTGCTTGGCAGGCACCATGTGATAGTGGACTGAGGGACTACTGAGAAGAGTGAGGAGATGGGCGGGTGAGACCAGACAGAAGGGAATAAGTTGATTGTACAAGTGGTCATAGGATGGCAGGATCTGAGGTGACAGGAGAGATAGAGATCTAAACCAACAAAGATGTTGTGCAATTTTATTTTATTGATAATTTTGTCAAATTTGTATACAGGTTTTAATTGTCAGTTTAATGAATTATATAAATTAACAAGCTTGTACATGCGGTATCCAGTATCCATCTTCAGACCCATCTTCAGAATTTGCTCACATAACTTAATCACTGTCTCTCCTTTCGTTTCACACATGACTGTGTCTTTTAGTCTTTCTTATGGAAACACATAGACAGCGTGTTTTGTGAGCAGATGATGAGGCATAGAGGGATTCCCATTCTCTTAATGGAGGTGAAAACAGTGCCCCCCAGGCACACACAAACACACGTCAACCTCTAGTGAGATAGCAGCTGAGAGTTCAATTTCAGTTGAATATGCAAATCCATTTGTGTGTGTGTTCTGTTTGGGTTTGTGAATGGTCCACTGCAGATTCATGCTACTTTCATTGAACAGCAACGACTGGAAAAAGCCAAACATCAACTGTGGAGCTTGGGCGTTAATTTAAGGCTGCCACTGGAGGTTTGAAATGGGTAAGGAATATGGATATGGATTACGCTATACATGGGTGGATATTAGAATAGAAACCCATCAGTGGGAAGCTTTCATCTGAATGCGTGTAGGGTATCATGAGTATATGCTGAACACGTTTCAGCTTCTCAGTCCTGCTGAGACATTAGTACGGCTTGTAATCATAAAAGACTTTATGGATACAAGGTTACGGCCTGGGCTTTCTTTCAATTCGAAACCCCAAATAGGTTTCAGATGCCTGGTGAATTTTCCTAAACATCAAACTAATAGACTGTTGACTAGAACTAATGGACGTAGAAATGGTAAAGTCACCCTTCGGTTTGTGGACTGCCATTTCTAAAAAGCCATGAGTTTGGTGATTTTACTACGGCTATCTGAATGTTTTTGTTGAATATGGAGGAGGAACATAGGGGTGCCGTATACAAGTCTGGTTGCAGCAACAATTTGTCAATCACAGTGAGCCCAACCCTATCTCAGCCAATTTAATATTATATAATTGGTATTTCCCTTGTGTAAGTTATGAAGTGAAACAAGATTAGTTCTCATTTAATGTATTTAGGGTCCAGACTACAAGGCCAATGACAATAATGATTCTCAGAGGCCAATATGCAGCTAGCCGTGTGAATTCCTGTCCTGATAGTTTGTAAAAAGAATGGTGAGGCTGCGAAGAAATAATGGTAAATCTGCAAACATCATTCATTCCTCGACAGCTACAGCCTCTCCAAATAATTTCAGCAAATAAAGCATTAATCACATTAACTACTTTAAGAAGAGTTGTCATCTTATTTGATTCTCCTCAATGCGAGCAAATGTTCTATGATAATTTTACTTGTTTTGAACATGTGGCTCTGAATTCCTTGCAACCCGTATTCCTCAACATTTACACACCAAGTAAATATTGTGCAATATTCTTTGCGTTTACTAAACCGCTGGCAGTATTGACTTTGTATGTGTTGTAATTGTTGTCAATGATAATAATGTCAATAATCCCCTGCTGCCTTTAACGAACCACATTCCAGAATGAAGTGAATGCTTTTTACTGTTTCGTTCATTAATTGCACTCCAAAGAAAAACAAAGAAATTTAAATTGGATTTAAATTGAAATCCCAGTTTTGTCCGAAAACAGAAGGACTCAAACACAGACTTAGCACAAAAAAATACAAGACTCGACAACATAAACAACAAACCTATGAAGAGCCAAGAGACACTGCGAAGATGCACGTGATTCGACACAGCAGCAAACAGGGACATTGCAGACAATCACAATCACAGGAGAAAATACACCCGGGGCCTGTTTCAATAAGGAGGTTCAACCAACTCTGAGTTAAAACTTGAACTCTGAGTTGACTTACCCTGAGATGGGAAACTCTGAGTTTTCGGTTACAGAACAGCTGAAATGAGTTAGTTCAATCAACTCTGAGTTGACCTACTCTGAGTTAAGCGCGTGCACCACAACTATAAAAAGCCATTATCAATGGAGCGCAGATATTACGAGTCACCATGGCAACAGCGCCAGACAAAAAGAGGTCTTCATATTTTTCACCAGCAGAACTGGATGTGCTTATGCAAGCATATGGAGAGTACGAACATATATTTAAAAAAAAAAGCAACACGGCTGCAGCGGCGAAGGACAGAGAGTTAGCTTGGGAGAAAATAGCTGCTCGAGTCAATGCGTAAGTTTACATTTGAATTACTGTTATACAGTGTTGTGTGTAATTAATTTCTATGTAATCTAAAAACTAATTTAATTCCGTAATTTAAAGTAAAATCTGATGTAATTGCATTAAATGCTGCATAAACTATAAAGCAATTCTGTATAAAACGATAGTGGATTTAACATCAAATTTTAAAAGATATATTTTTTCAAGAATAATTCATGCAATTGTATAATGTTTATTTGAAAGCATTAAAAGTGCAGTTTCTTGTCTCTCCTTGTATTGTTCAAGTGGTTGAGGTTGATATGGGATTTAGAAAGTAATTAGTAATAAGTAGACCAATACTTTCTAGAGATAGTCATTATTACATTAATCTAATTACACTGTTGCCAGTTGTAGTTAGTAATATAAGTGACTTGCCCAACTGTTATAATATCAGAAGTGAAACTGGAAGAACAGTGTGTTATTCAACCTAATTTTAATTTTCATGTAGGTGCAATCCTGCAGGCATTAAAAGAACATGGCAGCAGCTGAAAATGAAATATAAAAACATAATTCAATCAGGTAAGGCTTGAACATATCATGGTTGTAGTCTACCTGACTTTACAAACATTTGACATATAAATAACTAAATAGCAGCAGTGCAGCAGCATTTTTGACATGGGTCTAAATGTTCATTCTCATTTGACTACTCAGCCAACAGAAAGAAGGCAGAGGCTCGCAAAACGGGGGGAGGACCTGCACCACCACCTCTGACAAATGCAGAGGAGATGGCCCTGAGCCTGAATGCTGGAAGGCCAATGGCTGAGGGAATTCCTGGAGGGACTTCATCAGAGCCAGTCACTCCAGAAGATTTAAGTGCCTTCATAAAATGTAAGAGGTCTACCTATGTGTTGTGTTTTTATATAGGCTATTTGTGATATTTCCATTTATTTTACTTTGGGGTGGGTTTTTCGTTGGTCCCAACAGATTCTGATGGTAAAATTAGTCTTTTGGAGCCTCCTGTCCCAACAGAACCACAGGCAGTTGTAAGTAGCCTACTCAATACACCAGAAATTATTACAAATAGTGTTATAAAGTGTACTCAAATGCTCATCTTCACAGGATGATGGGGATGAAGAAACAGTTTCTGCTGCCACAGAGATGCCTACAGAGGTAATGTTAATATTATGTGTCTATCAAACAATCTACACATTCACATTTCTTCACCTTTTTTATGTGGAGTAGCCTATAGAATCTAAGTTTAAATCTAAGTATAAACAGGTATTTTTATCTCTCCCCAGAGTGTGGAAGAACAGCAAGAGGATGGTCCATCAACTTCTGGTGCACAGATGAACACAGTTCAGTGATTTTTTTTTTTCAGTAAATGCCACAGTTTAATATTGTAGAATTTTAGAACTACATGATGTAACTGTAATCTACTGTATTTTCAGTTGCCAGTTAAGGAGTTATATAGACTTCTTCTTATTAAAAAGATAGAAAAAAACAGCAAAGAACTTGTATACTTGGACCGCCAGATCCAAAAGGCAGATCTGGAAATTGAGATTCTGAAACTAAAGCTAGAGGTGAGTGCATGGTCACAGGTGAATTCTAAGTATTGAAAATATATTAAATTCTATTTTTTTTTTTTTATGTTTAGGAAATAAAGAACACCATATAAATTGCTGTGATTTTGTGTTTATTCATTTTTATTTTATTTTGTGGTTGGTTGGTTGTGGTGGTGGATATAATGTGTATTAATCTGTGAAGACATTTCGACATATCATATCCCGGACTACCCTTCCCTCCTGGAAATTTGCCGGGTTGATGGGGTTTCCTCTGGGTCTTGTATTTGTAGGGCAGGGTGTTGCTCCCCTCTAATTATGGCAATATTATGGAGAACAACACATGCCACAATAATGTCGCAGGCCCTTTCAGGGGTTACCCTGAGGTGACGTAGGCACTGGAAACGTGCTTTCAACAGGCCTATGGTCATCTCCACTCGGGCTCTCGTCCTGCAGTGTGCCACATTGAAGCGGCGCTGGGGGCCTGGTTCAGGTTCTGGGTAAGGGGTAATTAGTGTTGGTCGGCATGGGTAACCCCTATCTCCCAGCAGAAAGCCATCAATCTCTCCTGTAAGAAAGTTCACATTGCTTTAGAGCTGCATAGAAGTTCCCCAGTAAGTGTGTAGTGCATACATTGAAATACATGCATTTACTTACCAGTTTCCAGTCTGTTGCTCAGCGTTGACTCACGATACATTCGTGAGTCATGAACAGAACCGGGCCACTTGGCCTCCACATTTGTAATGAGATGTGCAGCATCACATATGATCTTGACAATGCAAAGAATGAGACATGTTATAGTATTGTGATGAAGTCTTTGACCATTAGAAACAGTAGGCTTTCAGTGTACCTGCACATTAATACTGTGGATGGACCTCCTGTTGACATAGTCCGCTTCATTTTCGGAAGGTGCAATGTTGGGAATATGTGTGCCATCAATGCATCCAACCACATTCGGAAATCCTAAAAGGAATTCTATTATTAGTTTACTTCCAGGGGTCGCAGCAATATGCTCTTAACTGAACGTCATTTATCAGGTTAGCCTCATTTAAACCGATTTATACATCACTGACCTGCAATCCTGTGAAACTCCTCTTTGATGGCTCTCACGGGTTTGTGCCCAGGAAACAGCACAAAAATTCGGAGAAAGCGCTTAAGAGCGAGGCACACTTTCCTTACAACTCTGCAAACAGTAGCCTTACTGATATGTTCTGCATCCCCAATGTTATACAGAAAACTACCATTTTCAAAGAAACGTAATGCAACGCAAAGCATCTGCTCGGATGTTAGAGCACGGCCGCGATGGCTGATGTTTCTGATGTAAGGATGGATGAGATTATGGATGTATCTTATTGACTGTAAAGAAAAACGGTACCGCTCAAATAAAAATGAATATGGATATGACAAAAAATCCACTCTGGGTCTCAAAATCCTCTCCCGACGTAAATGCAACTCCCTACGGATTAATGCAGCCTCTTCATCCACAGGATCGTCCATAAAAGGACATGCCATTTCATTCACTTGATTTGATGCGCTCTGCGTGACTGAAATGTGCGCAATGAATGAATACCGAAAGAATGAATGAGGTGATTAAATACCACTTCCTCTTTAAAAAAGGGGAGGAGACGAAATAAACTCTGGGTTTCCCGAAGAAAACCTGCTCCCGACCAGGTTAGGTTCACAGAGTAAGTTGCCATGGTAACTGACTCTGAGTATAAGTTACCTCTCTTTCTGAAACAGGCTTGACTTACTCTGCTTTCTCAGGTTCAACATACCTCCCATTCTGAAACAGAAAACTCAGAGTTTCCCTCATTTCAGGGTTAACATACTCAGAGTTTTCACTTAACCTCCTTTCTGAAACAGGCCCCAGGGGGGTATTCCAGAAAGGAGGTTTAACAAACTCTGAGACGGAAACTCTGAGTATCCGGTTCCAGAACAGCTGATCTGCGTTAGTTTAATCAACTCGGAGTATGTTCACCTTGAGTTAAGCGCGTACATGACGATTATAAAAAGCCAGGGACCACTGCTCTACGGGATGGAATGTTCATCTCTTTCTCCCTACGTCTGCTGAATTAAGCTAAATTCATTTTAAATCCATGCATAACGGTGGTCTGGTAGGGCTGTCAAAATTGCTCAAAAAGGACGTTCGAATTTTCGCATAAAAAAAATACATATATTCGAATATCCGGTTGCGCATTACACACGTCAATAACAGGACAAATTTATACAACGAGAAATAACTACTTGTATAGGTAATTTATTTAAGTTTAAACATATTTAAGAACATATTACCTACACAAAAATAAGTAAATAACTCTCTGCTCTCTGTGCATAGCGATTTAAATGAACAACAACAATAAACAAATGCTGAGTGCTGATGAAGAGTTTTGTGCAAGCAATTTAAGGTCGCAATTCTTGTCTCAAATATGGCAGGCTTCATTCAGTGAGTGAAAGTTTTACAGTACCGACATTGAACACTCCGAGAGAATATATATTTGAATATAGAATATTCGTTGACAGCCCTATGGTGTGGTGGTCAGCACTATCACCTTGACTTGGATGGTCCTGGGTTCAAACCCACTCAGCAGGTTGTGCCTTTCTGTTGGCCCCTTGTACCTCTGTTAATTTTCTCTAGCCTCCTACCAAAAACATGGAGGATAAGTGAATTGTTTACTCTAAATTGCCCCTAGATGAGAGCGAATGGTTGTCGATCTCTATGACAGCCCTGTTATTGACTGATGACCAGTCAAAACTTTGGTTGGATGCCCAATAGGTTGGAGTCATGCCCAACAGCTGGGCATGACTCCAACTCCCCTGCTACCCTCTAAGGATAAGAGGTATAGAAAATGGAATTGAATTAATAGTCCATTTTTGGAATAACTAGTAATGTGTGTTTCCCCATGTAGTCCCTAATCCAATCTTCCTATAAAAGGTTTAGATTCCAGGTTCATTTGCACCATTCTAAATGTAACGTCACGCCCAAGATCTATATTTTATCTGCATCTGGCTCTCCAAGCCAAACTGTGAAGTGGTTTATACACCTGTTTTAATTGGTTTACATGTGTTTTAGAACTGGCGTTGTGAATGTGAATTGGTTAATGTTGCCCTGGTAACATCAGATATCTCTACATTTGGGGCGGAGAGGATTTGTGATACATTAGGCGAAAGAAATGTTAATTCATTAAGTTAATTTATTATTGACAGCTTCCCAGTCCCTTTTTAGTCATTGACCGACTTGTGAACATGTCTTGGCAGTGAGACTTGCTATTCCTCCATGTGTGGCCTTCTCCTGGTTTCCTCACGTTCCCAAGTTCCCCATTGAGCGGCCAGAGAAGCATGGGGGGGAGCACCGAGCAAGGCATTGGAATCCCCAGCCAATGACTTTTAATCCCAACTCATAAAAACAGAGTGACAGTGGAGAAATGTTTGGACGCGAACAAGGCCAGACAAATGTTGCCCCGGACCCGAAGGCCCGAGACTAATGTGTCGACAAAGCAGTTGACTCATTTTCAACAGCGAGCCTTCAGCAATGCAGTCAAACAAGAGAGACATCCTCTGTTTCATGTGTTGAAAGGCAGTTGATGTCAGAGGTCTGTTGGATCATTGACTGTAACAATGTTGGATGCCTAGTGACAGCAGTCACAGTGGTAAATTTACTTTTTAGCCACTTTGAAAGACTTGTAGTAGTAAGTAGACTACTAAGTGTACTAGAACAGTCTGCATGTGGAGTGATAATGAAACCTCTTGTAAAATAGAAGAAGTACACGCAAATGTACTAATCAGAAATCTGATCAGTGTACAATTTCACTGGCAGATACCTATGCAAACACGCAAAAGGCATTTCTCCATTCGACCAACTTTCTTAGTAACACGTGCGTGTGCAGTACAAATCTTGTTTTCTGGCCTCTGTCTGCAGTTGAGTGCTAAGCCTATGCACTAGTGCCAAAAGCATGCAGCTGTTCAAGGGACACAAGATGGGATAAACTTTCCGCGCCTTCAGTGGCTCAAGCTCGCCCGAGGCACGGATCACTTTTGCCATTGTAACGTGACGGTATCCGCATGCTGGTGCACACAAGGTTAACATGGGCCACAGGTGTCGGATTGTGTTGATGTCCAGATTTTCACCTCCTGCCACATCCAATTGCTTGTGAAACCCCCCGCCTCCCAAAACCCCCTTTTTAAAACTTTTTCTATTGATAATCATTAGAGTTTCAAAGACTGGCCCCCCATGCACTTTTTAGACTGATGGTGAGAAAATAAAAGATGTGCATGAAACAGACAGCTTTTTAAAAAACCTATCCATATCTATGAAAAAACTAAACTTTTTGTTTTTTGTAAAACAAAATCATGACCCATGCTGTCATGACCTATGCTTACGTACGTTAGTAGCCTTCAATTTTGACAAATATCATGACCTCATCCATCCATCATTCAATCAATAACCTGCAAGGGACAGCCCTCCGTAACTCTGAATGCCACTACGGTCCCACCACTCAGACATTCTTTGCCAACTCGCCCTCTGGGAACTGAATAGATTCTCACACCTTCTGTGAGTTTCTAAAGGAACAGAGCAGCAGACATTAGGACATGGTTTTCTCTACCTGATCTGGAGTGCTAATTTAGAAGCTGAGGGTTTACATTTCTTTTCCCTTTGGCAATGTTAAAACTGGATCGCAGTAACTGCAATTTTACTTTAAATTACCCTAAACCGGTCGAAAAATCTAGAAGAGTCTGGATGAGTGTGGATTTAGCAAACTGCTAAAGTTAACACAAAGTCGGTCTACAGCTGTTGATGGGGGAGTTACTGCAGTTTCCTTTCCTTACAAAGGCATTGGTGTCTCCAGAGGAAGTCATGTAGTATGACAAATGTGCTGTCACGCACATTAACCACAATGAGCATTTGACCCAGAATCTCCAACCAAAGCTTTGGCAGTCTGGTTGCATTGTTGGTAATGTAGGCGTCAAATATAAAACCAAAGCCATCTGCCACTGTCAGGGCATTAACATTTTATCTAGCTTGATTGCCGAAAAAGTTTCCCCCCACGATCAAGATGCCAGCCTTGAAAAGGTACGAGCAGAAACCGTCGACATATATATCCATTAAGAATTTTTGGTCAGTAGCCCAGAGAGTGCTAAAGTGGAGCAGCGCTAAGTGCGGAGCTGGGCTTTTACTGTGCAACTCCACTATATGGAAGAGATTTTAAAGATTATATATAACAACTTTTCCCCTCTATATATACAGTAAATGTTTGCATATTATTTGTATTAAGTTTCCTAAATTTAACAGATGACAGATCAGGTGAACACACCCCTTTATCTGGCTTCCGACTCATCCAGAACACACACACCTACACTGTGGCCAGGCCTCCCCAGTTAATGGGAGTCAGATTACATCAACCACAAGCTTTGCTGCCTCACTGTTAAATCATGGACTATGGTTACATAGGAGCTGCTTTATCAATGTATCTGCAGGGCCATATACAGGAAGCTGGGCAGACGAGGAGAGAGGACGGAAGCAGAGTGTGTTTATGAGGTTATGGTATCTTTGAAGGAATAAAAATGGGTGGAGATTACCCTTTTTGTATCAATCACACCGATACTAGGATGGGTCTTCAACTTTCCTCAGATCTACCTCCGTGACCTCCACAAGCCTGGTATCAGGACATTTAACTGAAGCTAGTGTGCACTATTCCTCTCCAGTGGGCCTACTGTGTCAATGACATTATGGGGAAGGGGAACCTTAATGATGGAAAGGGGGAAGCATACATCTCTTTCCTGCCAGGAGCCTTTATAGCTGGAAAATACTGGCATTGCCTGACCATGTATTCATACTACCGTAAGTGTCCTGCCCAAAGGACTGGATGCCTTGGGTTAAAGATTGTGGACCCCAATGGTTGTCTGGCTGATCACTTTTCTGGTCTTAGAATTTTGAAATTAGCTCCAACTTGATCAATTGCGTCAGTGAAATACAATTCAAACATAAAGGCATCGGTAATAATGTAGTGATATTACATTTGATACCACAACTCTTGTCACTTATCACACTTGCATAGTTTATTTTGATTATTTTGAAGCACTTAAATGGCATTGTCAATGCAGGAACTTTGCTTGTTAGAGTATTTTTATATTGCAGTAAATCTGAAAATGTCCTCCCCTACCGACTGTTGCTTCAATCGATTCTGTGAAGAGAATCACTTCATATTGCCCCATTATCAATGGAACCCCAACTACAGTACTTCTTGTCGGTCTATTTGTTGCATGTAAGTATACTGTATGTAAAGCACACTGGTAGTAATATAATTTGTGTATTCAGGTGTAGATCCCAGAAGTGTGGGCTAAAGAACGAAGCTGGATCAGCAGAAAATCTGCCAAGCTCATCAGCTTTACTTCCCAAGTGTGTGTGTGTGTGTGTCTCTCTGTTTGTGTGTGTATGTTTTGAATGGTTTGGAGAGTGAGTAGCCATAAAAACTGAATTGGCCTCGGTTTAATGTGAGATCTGACCCCCCCCAGGTGTGTGTGCTTTCATGCCTATTCAAACACTGTATTTGTAAGAGAGCTTAGCTTCAGGCGGGAGGAGTGTAGTGTGCGTGTGTGTATTTGTAT